TAGATTTTATAATACTTTAAATCTCAAGAATTTGAAAATCTAAATATTTTAGTGCCAAGATCCTCCAGTTAAATCACCAAGAAAATTATAAAGTGCGAAACATACATTTATTCATTGAGAACGATTATTATTACTGGATCTTGAATTGGATGTTCTTGATTATGACTCATTGATCTTTAGTCATGATTTCTTCAATCATTCTTCTTTATTCTTGATTGATTATTCTTAATTGTGGGTTTTGGATCTTCCACTTCAATATGTTTCCCCTGTTGTTCTTGTATTGATATAATGACATGTAGAATGGGAATCACATATAAATTGGAAACTATAATCCTACACACACACACACACACATTTTTAGTCCTATACTTTAATTAGATGGGCAAAGCCTATAACTTTAATTCTTTATTATTCCACTTTAATTGGGCTTAATTTTAAGATAACATTTATACACAATTAATTACAAACGTGGGCTCACTTGACAAATTAAAAGCCAACACTTCACGTTCGAGAATTCAAAACAAGAGAGAAGTCAAACATTAGACTTTGGATAACTGTTTGTGCGGCCCATTCAACCTCATGAGGAGGTTTTGCATTCACATTTCAATCCTAAACTTATGAACTTCAATCCATTCTCCAGAATTTTATATAAACTGTTTTCAGTATGGGTGGCAATTGGGTAGAGTGGCTAGTGGGCTCGACTAGCCGTTCGAACTTGTCTAGGGCTGAACTTCGGGCTGAGCCATACTAAAAAAATTTGGCAAGCATAACTAGGACTTTAACGATCATATTTTGAATAATTCTGACCATTGGCCAATGGTCAAATTTTTATTTTTATTTTTCCGAATTTTTTTCTCAGTAAATACCTCATCTATCTACTACATTTTTTTCTCATCACAATTCTTACTACATTCTAAATTGTGGTAATTACACAAATCCCTACTTTAAGTATTCAACATTCTAAAATCATGTGAGAAGTTTAACCTTTCAAAAATCAGATGTTTTAATTAATATATTATTATTAAATTCGATTAATTTAGAAATCAACCGCACCCACCTCATTTCCCCCTGAACACGTTCTCTCTCTAAACCAAACCCTAAAATCCCAAATCAACTATCACACATTCCTTCTCTCTCTTCCTCCCCTCTCGGCAACTTCCTCCTCTCCTTTCGGCCTCGACTCCTCTCTCTCCGGCAGCTCCCTCCTAGCCCTTCGGCGACTCCATCATCAACAAGTAGAAGGCCGCCGCTGGCACCTGCCGTCAACAAGTGGAAGGCCTCCTCTCGGTCCGGCTGCTCCCTCTCCTTAATTCATTTTCACTCACTACTCTTTTCTCACTCTCTCTACCAACCTTCACCGGCGATGCCGCCCTCCTCCCTCTCTGCCGATGGCCCATCCTCGAGCCAGCACAGGCTCGCACAGATCTCCCATCATTCGTCTGTGAAGCGAGGGCCACCTCTTTCATTTCTCTCTCTAAAAGCAGGCGACAGTGCGGGGCCACGATGTTTCATGCGATAAGTTGGTTAGATTCATAGTTGGTGGTATAGAGTGGTGATTGTTGGTGCGATGTGGCTATTGGTAATTTGAGGCAGGTTGTGGGTTGTGATTTGAGGTGTTCATCCAATGGCGGCGGCGGATTTTATTGTTAGATGTGTTTGAAGGTGGTGACGGTGACTAGTTTGATCGTGGAGTTTGTTGGATCTAGTGGTGGCGTTGGTGGTCGTTTTTGTTTATGGCTGCAGTGGTGGCAATGACGGCGACGTGGCTGGAGGTGGTAGTGCTGACAGGTTGTCGTGAGGTGGTGGTGTTTTTATACAATGTGTTGATTTGTTGAGATTGTGTTATTATGGTTCTGGCCGTGACAGTGACGGTGGTGGTGCTGATGGGAGTGGTGAGATGGTGTCATGGTGGTCACAAGTGTTGGTTGTGGTCACAGAGTGTACTGTCTTTTCTCTTCTCACTCTCTCTTCTCTCTAGCAGTGGACGGTGGCGGAGGGTTTGGTGTTTGTGTTGGACTATCTGTGACCTTAAAATTCTACAATTTGTGACTAAAAATTAATCCGTGACCTTAAAATTCGACAATTTGTCACTAAAAATTAATCTGTGACCTGTAATTTTTTAATCCGTGACCAATAAAATAATCTGTAACCTTTAAAATTATTGATTTGTGACCATGAAATAATCTGTGACCTCCAAAAATTTTGATCCGTGACCGATATGCAAATTGTGACCTACAAAAGTTTTAGACTGTGACCTGAGTTGTGACATGTGCTATGACTTGTGAATTGGACTGTGACCTGGGCTGTGACTCGTAACCTGAATCGTCGGAATAGGAGCAGTCGTCGAAAAACGGTCACCAGAATCGGAGCAGTCGTCGGAACGGTCGTGCGGAATAGTCACCGGAGCCGTTGCCGAAACAGTCATCGGAAGTTCGCCGGAGTAGGGCGGTGATCGAAACGGTCACCGGAGCGGTAGGGGTGATGAAGGTGGGATGGGTTAATTATATTATATTATAATTAAATATTTAATAATAAATTAATTTAATAATTTATTATTTCATAAATAAAAATTTAAAAAAAATTTAAAAAAAATCTGATTTTGGTAACTTTAAACTTGTATTCTTATTTTTGAAATAGACTAAACTTATACTTTTGAATATGTAATCTTCCCTTCTAAATTTCCCATTCAATTGTAGTAATTTAAATTTTATACAATTAGTTCTTGCAACTCAATCCACATTCTTCAAATTTGTCCTTTTATAGTGCAATTTCATTCTAGGTACTACATTTTCTCTACTTTCTACATTTTTATTTCAATTTTTTATTTATTCAAAATTCAAATGAATCACAATAATTAGTTGGAGATTAATGAGTTTGAAGAAATGTTTGGTGCCTTTTATACAACACAAAGTGCTGCTCCCACTTTATCTTCGTCGTTCGATCATGATTTTAGTGGTCTTAATGACATTCTAATTCTAGTTGATTTGGCAACCAACATGTACATGGGAGCACTGATTCAATTAATTTGGATGACATCAACGAAGGAGAAACGCATACAATAGGCTCAATAGATAAATTATGAACAAAGAAAGAAACTACTAAATATTGAAAACACTTCAAACTTGTGCTCACAAGTCAAGTAAGTGGCAAGAAACATTACAAAGAAATATAGTATTGTAGGGGTGGCAATAGACTGAATTGGCTACGAAGCCCTTGGCTGGTGTGGACATGAGTCGAGCTCGATCTCGGCTCATTTTTAAATCTTATGATCGGCTTAGCCGTTTAGCTTGTGGACCTCACGAACCGAACCCACGAGTCAGCTTGTTTATTTATTCTTTAAAATAAATTAACAAAACAAGCCCCTATTTGTCTACCATTATTTCAATTTTTTTTTCAAACTCATTTTCAACAACATATTCTCACAATAAAATATTTTGTATGTGAACCAAAAAAAATTTGCTACTTTTTAATCACAAATAATCCAAAAATTCACTATTTCAAAACTCATTTCCCACTTTAATGGTAGACATTCTAAAAATGAGCAATTCTTTTAAAAAAAAATTAATAAAACAAGTCCAAAAATGAGGAACAAAAAAGGAGTCGTCTCGTTGCTCGTAGCCACAAGCCCAAACGAGTCGGATCCTAGGCTCGTATCCACGAGTCTGCTTGTTAAAAAAAATTGTGAGCTCAACCTGTCTCAAAATGAGGTCGAGCCGCACCCACGAGCCGTTCGACGACCCTAAAATATTGTGAAGAACTTGGAAAACAAGTGTTGGAACGAACCACATAACGAGGCGCTACAAGTAGTGTTCAATCAATGAAGGAGCTTTGAATCTTACACGGACTCAACCCTAGTTTAATTCTCTCGATACATGTTCTAGTTCACTTACTAGCTATGTATACTCAAAGAGGCAATGCGTGAAGGCATGTCCACTATCGTAGTTAGTGGTGAGCATCCACTTAGCATAATGGACAACCCACATTTCACCAAGTTCATACGATAATATCTCCAACCCAAATACGAACCACTTACTAGAAATACTTTTGTTTTGATGTTTTTACTTTATATCATCAGAAAGAAATCGCTAATAAGTAATTTATATAAATGTGGTGGTATTACATGTTTAACGCCTGACCTATGGGGGGGTTTAATAAAAAAAAATTACATAGCTACTACAACTTACTATATAGATAAATTGTGAGTAATGCATAAGAATTATTTTTTTGAACTAATCGAATTTCCTTATAATGCTACTAATTTATTTTTTTTATGATTTAATGGGTATTATTAAGAATTTGATTATGAGAATAAAATTCGTTACTTTATGTTTGACAATGCAACGATTAATAAAGTTGTAATTTATAATTTTGCTAGGCTTCTTAATCTCAATTTTGGTGGTATTTTTTGTTTTTTTAAATATCTGTTGTGTTTGTCATATTTTTAATTTAATCGTGCAAGATGAGTTATAATTAATTCAAAACGAATTCGACATAATTAGGAATGCTCTAATCTTTATTATGATATCACCTAGTAAAAAAATAAGCTTTTGACGATGATAGAGCCTGTATAAGCAAGAGGTTTAGACTTGCTCTTTTTTTTCTTTTGGAGAACGAACGAGCGTCAATATTCAAGTGTTTCCCTTATAGCACACAATCTACTAATACCTCTGATTAATATTGTAGCGTTGAAGTCTACTTTTAGTACAAGTGACAGAGTTTTGTCCGAATAGAAATTAAGATTTAAATAAGGCATATCAAAGAGTTTAATGTGTATAAAGGATTGAAAACATGCAGAGTTTTGACTAAATGCCCAGATAATATAAGATAAATGTTGACAGAATTTACATCAATGCTAACGTGGCAACGCATGATTGGCATATTTTGATTTCTCTCTCCATCTTTCAATAATTAGACGTCATCTGTTGTTGGTCAAAATTTGTATTATAGCAAGATTGCTGTTAGAATTACTGTAATTCCTCGTTTCTTATAGACTTTCCCGCATGTTAACTCTCTCCCTTAAACCCGTAACCCCTTTCACCCACCAAACCGCCAAATCCCCAAACCCACCAAAATGCTGCATATCTGAAAGGGGCCACTGCTTCGACATTGGCGACACCTTCTTCCGCCATGAAAGCGCCACTGGCCGCGACCTCGGTGTGCTTGCAGCTGCCATTTACAAGAAATCACACAATGCCCTCCGAGTGCTCGATGCAATGTGCGGCTGCGGAATCAGATCTTTACGCTATCTGGCGGAAGCCGATGCTGATTTTGTTTTGGCTAATGATGCGAATGAGGAATATGGGAGTGTTATTACGGGCAATTTGGAGAGGGCGGGAAAGGAGTATGGAGAAAATAAAAGGTGGGTTATTTCGCATTCGGATGCGAACCGGGTTTTGACGGAGTGTTATTTGAGGAGAGATTACTTTGATTTTATTGATATTGATTCGTTTGGTAGTGATTCGAGTTTCTTGAGGTCTGCCCTGGGTGCCGTGAAATTGGATGGGCTTTTGTACCTCACTTCCACTGATGGTTTCTCTTCTGGTGGACACCGACCTCAACAGTGAGTTATAATACTTGTGTAATTGATTCGATAAGTCCTTGAATCCCTTTCAATAGGCTGATCTTCAGGAAGTTGTTTTATCTATTGACATTTTTTTATCTTATGCTAAACTTGTATTTTGAAAAGATTTGTTAGTCATTTGGCCCAATTGTTAGTGTCTCGGTGATTGCCTAGTTTTTTAACTGAAAGAAAATTAAGAAAAATAAGGAAATGGTTAATTATGGAGGAATCTAGTACGAGTTTGCTATTTGTTAGGAAATTCAATCCTTTCATAAACATCTTGTTAGCTAGAATTTTGATTGGCAAATGACATTGATCCACCAAGGTGAGATTTCTGATGGAGATAAATGCTTTACACTCCAGTATTTAGAGGGTGTCAAGTCTTGATCTTCGTGATATCTCGTTCTACATGTTTCAAAAATTTATCATCGAAATTGAGAGCACTTTTATGAGCTTTTATCAACTTCTGCCTCGACCTACTGCTCAATGTTTTGTTCTTGGTGGGTTCGTGTTCTTTAACTTGAAAAAACTACTCTTTTCCTGCAGCCATCGTTTGGACATTCATTTGATGATAGTATAACTTTAGTAGAGTGTTGTAGTTGTGGTAGATCACACCCCACTGAGTTATATTCTTGGCTCTGCCTACTTGTGAGTGCTAGTGTCATTTAAAACGATTATTTTGAAGGACAATAATATATACTTCTTCCCCAAATTAAATGACTACAGCACGAGTTGTTTTACATTTATTGATGATTCTCTGTTCTAGTTGATGTTCCTATGAATTATTGGATTGTACTGATTGAATAATTTGAGTGCTTTAGCTTCTGAATTCTTTTGAAACGCGATTGTAATAGTTGTTTTTCATTTCCCAGCTCTTTGGCTGCATATGGAGCATATGTTCGGCCTATGCCATATTCAAATGAGATTGGTTTAAGAATGCTTATTGGTGGGGCTGTACGGGAGGCTTCTGTTTTGGGTTATCATGTTGTACCCCTTTTCTCATACTATTCATACCATGGGCCTGTCTTTCGAGTAATGCTTCGCGTTAGGCGTGGGAAGCTTCCCGATAACAGGTCTTAGATCACTGTGATTTTTTTTATTTCCTCAGTTTTACCGTTCGGAATCTTGATTATTTGCTGCTTGTTACAGGCACTACAGTTTCATCAGCTACTGTAGTCGATGTGGGAATTCTTATGCAAATTCATGGGATAAACTTAATGCAATTGGCTGCTCGTGTAAAGCAAATGTACGTCTCTCATTCCTCCTGTTACATTCTAGGCTTACAAATGTGTGAAGGGAATCCCTTACTGTTGAGTGCTGACAATGTCTCGAATCATTTATGCTTTGACATTCTAGTAGACCATCCAAGTACTGTTGCTCTGTGAATCACCATGCTTTCTTCATGAATTTTTCCTGAATTATTATTTTAGATGATACAAGAACTCACAGCATTTTAGGCATTGCATTGGGTGTTTGATGGATACTTATTTTCAGGTTCCGGGTTCACTCATTGTTTCTGGGCCTCTCTGGACAGGACCTCTACACAGTGCACCCTTTCTTACTGAAATGCTAAATTTGGCTGAGCAATGGGGTTGGACGAACAATGGCATGGGAAAACAACTCGAAAAGTTGTTAAATCAGATGATTGGTGAAAGTGACCCTAAATTGCCTTTTGGATACATCAAATTAGACGAGGTATTCATGACATTGTAATATCATATTGTTTTCTCTGGATTCTCTATTCATCTAATCTCTGTCCCTTTCTCAGGTAGCGAGTCGTGCAAAGCTTAATTCTCCTCCCCTAGTTACCATTTTGAGCACTCTGCACAAGGTATTTTCTTGGCATATTTCCAATTACTGAATTTCCATTATCAACATTTTGTTTTGACGACTGTCTTTTCTGATAAGGAAATAAAACTATGCCTTCTGATTTGAATAGAACTGAATGCACAACAAATTAAAAGCTCTTCGAATTGGAACTCTTACTAACTCGTGCCGCTTTCAATATATAACTATTAAGTTCGAACCCCACTGCTGCTGAGATATATGGATTTTAGTCATTCTAATCTCATTTATAACTGTCGTGCATAATTCGGATGGGGGTTGTTGCAGGAGGGATATGCAGCTAGCAGATCACACATTGCCTCAAATGCAATTAAGACCAACTGCCTTATGGCTGATTGTGTTAGGATTGTGAAGGAACTCCAACAGTGTACGAGTGAGAATGAGAAGTATCAGCAAGTTGTTGAGGCATGAATTGCCCAAGGAATGCTTTTTAACCAGAATCCCAAGTTGCCGTGAGAGCCTTTTTTTGATTAGAAAAGTTCAAACTGATTTTTGTGTAGTTCAAATTACACAGTATACTTGTTCAGCAACTCGTGTGATTGATCTTCAAAATATTTGATTTCTACATCTGGTGCAGGATACATGAACATGGATCTTGGTACATTGCTGCTTTTGGACGTTGTTAACGCTTCCATTGTTTGCCCTGGTAAAATAAAATTGAAATTGAAATCTGGAAAAGAAAATGCTGTTACAGTTGACTTATCACGCTGAGTACTCAATGGTTCCAGAAAAGCGTCTGAAAAGCTAAAAATAGCACTTATTTAGTTATGGCACATACAATTCATCTTTATCAAGGGCAGCCAAAGTGTCGTACATTTTTATTTCTGGGACACGTATAGATCCCAATCACCAATTTGCTTGAAAAACAGTACTCAGAGATTGCAATGTTTCCTGCATCAAGGGCATTCTTTTTCGTACACCTCATTTGCGTATTTCCAGTTCATGACTTTCCATATGTTCTTCAGGTAATCAGGTCGCACATTTTTGTACTGCAACATAACAGGATAACATACCAATGTCAACAAAGAATGTCTACTGTTGAGAACTTGCAGAGAATACGTCAGAACCGATATAGATTACGACTGTGAGCAAGCATAGAAGACTAGTGGTCTTCCATGTGTCACGATAAAGCAATGCTGGGTTCAAAAACGCCAACCCAAAAAATGTAATAAGAAAAAGGGGAAACAGGGTTATGTTTCATATTTGAAGTTTATCAGACAATTTCTCTCTCCCCCTTTCTACTCACTTTAGCAGCAATATTGCCCTTTTCCATTTTCGTTTTTAGGAAAAAAATACTTGCTCGATGCACCTGAACTTTTGCTCCTCAGCATGACAAGTTAAATTAGTTGAGCTATTAAAATACAAAGCAAATATACAGGAGGAAAGAATTACCTGCAAGTAGTATGCATGCTCCCAGACATCAATACCAAGTAGGGGAACCAAATTTGGTCCTTTAGTAACCAGTGGATCCTGCAAGAGAGGTTCAGAACTTTATGACAAGAAAGTAGCCTGAATATATTACAAACAGTTGAAGAAATTTTTATTTTGACAGTGCAGTTGACCGGATACATATACGAGATTGGGGCACAAATATAATCATTGAATTTTGTCATTAATCTTGGTTTTCAAATATTATCTTTATCTATCATCAAATGAAAATAGCTGTCACGCTCAAGCAAAATTTGCTGAGAAACAGAATCCCAAACTTCAAAAATCTCCTCAATTTGTGCACAACCATCATATTCAGAGAACAAGTGCTTGACAGTATGCTTAAATTTGTATAAGATTATCATAGTACATAATAAGCTCTCAATATTAACTATTTTAAACATTGCTTAAATACTATTGAATCCGTTATTGATATACTGAAGCCAATGCATAATTCTTGTTGTCTTATCAATTTACTGAAGCCAATTCCAGATGCTAAAGTCTGTTGTACAATTATTTCAATAGTTTTTCCTCTCTTCTCTGAACATGAGTTTTGTAAGGGGGTAGTGAGAGATGTTTTATGCCACTAAAAAAATTTCATGACAAAGCTAACAAAGGTTTAAAAAATATTATGCTCACACAACAGAAATCTTCCGCAGAAGGAATGCCAATTCATGTCGTTTCCATTCTCAAAGTTAGCATGTGTTTGGGATATTGCAGACCATCTCTTGAATGAAGAAAGACTCCAGACTCCACAAGGTATTAGGATAATTTTACCTGCCAACTTTACTTATGCTGCCTCAAAAAAAGCCAATGCAAGGACTTAATGAATAGAACAGCATGCCATATATCAATATGATAATCCTGACCCTAGTAATGTCCATCGCATATAGATCTCATAAAGCAATTAAAATAGATGAAAACAATACATCGACATTATGATCTTATCTTTACTGCATGGGAGTTTAATCAAACACAAAATAAAAAGCATTCCCAACCTCAAGTGGAGGAAAAGGAAAGGAAAGAATTTTATTTTTTATTCCTTAGAATTTCATTTCAATAAGTCATGCAAATACTTGCTTTAAAGAATATTTTTCTTCCATTTTCCAGCATCTAGTGCCCTAAAAAAAGCGCAGGCTATGAGGGGATAATTTCAATCACACGTACTCGCTTAGCTATGCAGTTCCTTTCAATTATTTTAAACAAATATTCAACCAGTGAAAATTAATTTTATTTTCTACTAATTTCTTTCACTTTCTATGGAGAAAATCCACTGAGCCAAAAGAACCAACAAATAGAGATCCTAATCTTCTTATAGCTTCCAAAATATTGAAAATGTGATACCCTTCTTCGCCTTTAGCAGTAAACACATAATCCATATTATGAAGGCAAGAAAATGAAGAATAGAAAAGAATAAAAATTGACCATTTAACCTTTTATTAAAAATCCCAATTATCACTAAACAAAAAAATTTCTACATCAGTTACCTGATTTGCAGTAGTTTCAACCACCAGGCGCTTCAACTCTTTGTCCACACCAAGCCACTGAGAATTCCAATAAACGTGAATTTAAACAAATTAAAATTAAGTGATGACAATAGGTATCCTCAGGAAACGTCAAGCTCCAGATAGTAACAATACAACACATCGTAAGAAGCAACAGAACTTACAACCCATCCAGAGCCCTGCAAAGCAGCACCTTCAGCATTCATTTTCTGTATTAAAACTTCTAAAGAACCAAAGTGATTGTCAATAGCCCAACCAAGAGAACTCTTGGGTGGCTCACCACCACCTTCCTGAAATGAGATTTTAGTGTTAATGCAATTGCCCAATTCCCAATTGAAATTTTGTCAGTGCTAAATATACAAGAAATTAAACACACTTACACGAACAGGAGCAAGATTTTTCCAGAAAATTGAGTGATTGACATGACCTGATTGAGAACACAATTAGTTTTACTTCAAAAATTCCAAATTTGAAGCAACATTAAAACAATAATACTACAATAATGATCGTGCATGTAGTAATTCAGAACGGTAGCCATGACAGAAATCCAGGAAAACTCTTGATTTTCAACAGAAATCCAGGAAAACTCTTGATTCACTCCCAATGCATGATTATACTAGTTATAATAAGTATCCAATATTTTCATTGTAAAGACGTAAACAAGTTTTGTCCTGATGCTGATGCAAGGTCACCAAAAGGTTATGAGATGTAGGCAACGAACAAGAATAAGACTCGAGAAGAAAGCAAGAGAGAAGAAGAGAACCAAGAGAAGTTAAAGGGAGAAAGATGAATTTATTTAATAATCAAGTCTAACTATTACAATGTATAAGCCCTCTTTATATAGGATTTCAAAACCTAATTTAAGTAGGCAAACAACTAAAGAAATAATATAGAATTTATAAATAAAACCCTACGTTTCTCAACATAAGTATTTAAATTGGAAAGCCTTCCATATAATATCTCTAATAGGATTCCCATCATTTCTCCTCGACTAGGAGAACTTGACTCCAACAAGAGAGACAACAACTTCTTATCTTTCTTTTTGACCAAATAATTACATAGATCATATGATGACAACCGAATGTAGAAATCATCATCATATGACCAAAGATCTTTCCTTTGGATCAAACATCCACAATGTAATCAAGAGCAACAAATTGTGCAACTCATCCACAAAAACTACAACTAAATCTATATAGTGAAGAGCACAATGCACTAGCAAGATAGACTGACATGCAAAAATAAAGGAACGCAATGGTGGTGTTCTTCAAATGTGACAGCCAGTCAAATAGATTATTTTTAGGTGAGTAATCCAAACACTTTTTTTAAACGTGTTTAAGATACCAGATCAAAGAAACACATAGCAAAGCATAGTAATTCCCGAGAAAGTATGTGTGCCTACACTTTGCATCAAAAGCAATCTCATGATTTTCACAATTTAATATAATTCTGCATTGTATATCGGCATGAAAACTATGAACATGGATAACAAAAGTCAAGAGTGGACACAATGTGACAGTAATTAGTAGGTAAAAATCCAAATGTATGCAAGTGAATAATTTAAGTTAATGCCAAGGCAAAATCAATGTGCAAGTCACGCAAAGGGTAGACAATAATTATGGCACCAAATCAAGGACATGTGAAATGTCTGGCATAGGTGGCAACTCCTTACATAATTCCTTAAGTGTGTCATTGTTAAAAGGGTCTATCAAATGTATTTTTGGATATTTTAAACACAATCAAACTCTAAAAACTAGGAAAATGAGATTGGAGAAGAGACAATAGGGCAAGAAGTAAGCATGCCCTAACATCCTATACTATAAGTAGAACAATTTGAAGGTTTTTGGGACATTTTAAACACAACCAAACTCTGATAGCTAGGAAAACGAGGTTGGAGAAGAGATAATAGGCCAAGAAGTGTGCCCTAACCTCCTATAACTATAACTTAAGAGCGAACAGAGGGCAAAAAACAAGCCTGCCCTAACCTCCTACAACTGTCCCAAATGAAGTTTCAACTTTTCGACAAGACAACAAGTGAAAAGAGATGTACGATACAAGGGAAAGGGGTAAGGAAAGATAGAAGTGGAGAACGAAAAAATAAATGGAATGAAACTGATAGAGAAGAGGAGGATGATAGCTGAACCAAATTGCTAATGTTTCTTTTAACGATAAGTAACCATATCAAACCATGTCAATTTTTGTTTACTTCATACTCTTATAATGTGCTCTACTAGGTCACATAAGTTTTTTTAGATTTAAGCAACCTGTGCTCCAACCACCTAAATCATCATTTCTTCAATTTAACCTCAAATGACGTCACCTCCATTTTTTCATATATATTCGAGTATTTTATTTATTTCATTCTAGTACAGCTACACGTCCATCTTAACATCTTCATTTCAATCCTATGGCATTTTATTCTTTAACGATCCAACACTATTGTCATAAAGTATGACTAGTCTAATAATTGTTCGGTAGAACTCCTTTTAACTTCAGGGACAATTTTCTATCACATAAAATCCATGTATGATTTCTTCATTTCATCCACCAAAGAAACATGATGTTATTAAATCATTTAAAAATCAAATGACCAAAATAGAGAAACAATAAAATGTACCCAAAATATGTAATAAGAATCTCATAAGTAAATAAAACCATGCCAAAGCAAGGTAGCACCTTAAACCACAAGGTTACCTTAAAGCTTAAGACAACACAACCACCAATTTTTTACTAGGTAGATTAAAGCTTGAACTTTTTCTAGCTATTTTAAACCCCTAT